TTTTTTTATTTTTTATTTTTATTTATTTATTTTTGGTTTTTTGAGAGAGGGTTTCTCTGTGTAGCTTTGGAGCCTATCCTGGCACTCACTCTGTAGACCAGGCTGGCCTCGAACTCAGAGATCCTCCTGCCTCTGTCTCCTGAGTGCTGGGATTAAAGGCATGTGCCACCGAAGCTCAGCTTCCTTACTCTTCTTTAAAAATTCTTTTCTCTCCTCTCATGGACACCTTTCTTTCTGGGACTGGGTTACCTCATTAAATATAATAATTTCCAGATCCATTAATATTACCCAGAGTTTCATTTTTCCTTTTGGATGAATAAGAAAGTTCATTGGGTATATGTATAGGATTTTCATTTTCCATTCATCTGTTAGGGGACATCTAGGTGGGATACATTTCCTGGCTGTTGTGAACAGTGCACCAGTGAACATGGCTGTGCAAGTATCCATGGTGCTATTTAGAGTTTTTAGGATGTACCCAATAGTAGTAAAGCTGGGTTATATGAAAACTTTAGTTTTAGGTTATTAGGAATCCTCCTATCTAAAGTGCTTCTCTGTTGCTTCGTGAAACACCTTGACCAACAGCAACTTGTTAGGTGGCTTTTATTTCCTGATCACAGTCCATTATTGAGGAAAGTCAGATCAGGAACTCAAGCAGGAGCAGAGGTAGGAACAGATAATAATGACCTGTTCCCCTGGTTTTGCTCAGCTTCCTTTGATATACTGCCCAGCCCTATCTCTGCAGGGGTTGTACTGCTTGCATGACAATATCCCAAAAGCTGACATTCTTGACATTCCCAAAGGCACCTCCTCAGTTGAGGTTTCCCTCTTGCCAGGTGACTCTACTTTGTGTCAAATGACAACAAACCCAACTAGCACACCTCCTTGATTTCCATAGTGGCAGCACTAGTTTACATTCCTACCAGCTGTGAATCAGGGTTTTGTTTTTGTCTTCAGATCCTTGCCAGCATTTGTTTTGTTAATGGTGGACATTCTGACTGTAATAAGGTGGGCTCTTAAAGGAGTTTACATTTCTCTGATAGATAAGGAAGTTGAATATTCTTCATAACTTTGTTGGCCATTTGTGATTCATCTTTTAAGAAGGGTCTGTTCAGTTTATTTCCCCATTGATTCATTATTTATTGATCAGCATTTTTGTTTTCTTGTGTGTTTATTTTTCACACTTCTTTATATATTCTGGATAGCGTTACCATATCCAAATCTGGCAAAAAAATTTTTTTCCTATTCTGTGG